AGGTTGCCAGGTTTAAGCTCCTGTTTCGGCCCCCAACCTAAAGAACCTTTCTGTACATACCCAGACCTTCCTCTGATAATGCTTCCACGCGAAGGCAACTCTGTCGCACCCATCAGAAGTTACACTTTCGCATGACCGTGCATGATGCCATTCATAGGTATTACCCCTTTTTCTTTATTACTAAGTTGTTTCGTCGACGGTGTACCTGAATGCTACTGTTGCCGAGGTAAATATTGAGTCCAAGCTTGAGAGCTTCAATTCAATGACTGGTAGCTTTGAGGCCAGTAAAAGAATAAGGTACAATAAGGTACATCGTCTCCTGTCGGATGCCGTTTTTTTAGGTAGATTCAAGGTTCTAGTGTTGTAATGACAAATCCCTGGTAACCCTAGTGGTATTAGTTATGGCACCATGATGCTGAGCTGGACTTAAGTCAAAGTCCTAGATTTCTGGTACTGTACTTTGTACCGTACCTAGTAGGGTCGCTGTTTGAATCTTTCGCCAATTTAGGTCGTCTGTGTCGTCATTGATAACGGGATCCTCTAAACACGGGGATATTGCTGATACAGAATACTTACGTTGTTAGTATGTGTATTTACTTATGTAAACATCTCCTTTATATATGAATACGAACATATTCATTTTCGACAGTGAAAAGCATTGAATGGTAGGAGTAGGTGGCTATGAAATATGATCTGCACAAGTTGAAAAGGAACAAGAAATCCATATTTAATCGATCCAACTCATTTGTTATGTGTAGAAGAGGTGCCTGGCAGGACTGGTAAGGCAGGTGTTGGTGGATACCTAAATTATTGCCCTAAACTTTGAAAGTTTGGATGTACCTTATCGTTGTAGGTACCCACTCCACACTGTTCACAGTACCTAACCGCCCGATTCGGAACGGCCGTCTATTGGTTGATATCCCAGGTAATTCAGATGGGTGGGAGTTTCCTGGACCTGAGGATGTACAAGCTGCTAATTTCCCCATTCAGCTGTTCAAACCCTCAATTCTCAGGGCAGGTGGTAACTGTCAGATTTCTCACCTTTTTCTATGCACCACGTTCTGGGGCTTCTAACTTACCTAGGGAGAATTTATCCTTCCGGGTTTCTTCAGCTTGTTACCCGAATTTTAATGAGAGGAAGAAATCCCCGACTTGCTCAACAACAACAATACTACCATACTACCTATACGGCTTAACGACCTGACAACCAACTTGTGGGGTTAACGCCTTTCTTAAGAAACAAGGGGGAAAAAAGGAAAAGGGAAAAGGAAAAGGAACCAATTCATCAATGTAACTAACTTATTGCCCGCTGCTCGTCGCCCGTCGCCCGTCGCCCGTTGCCCGGATTTCACAAGCGGATGTCGCCCATGTCGCCCATAACCTAAATGTCCTAAATAACCCCCTCCACACCTGAACATTGCACCTTTTGACCTTCTTTCGGCTACCGTTATCTGCGTGTAAGCGTCCTTTTGAAGTTACTTACGTACGTCAAAGGTTCTAGAAGTTGAACCGCGGACCTGCAGGAAACCTACCGACTTCAACCTTCGAAATCGAGTTAATTACCCTCTTGAACCTTTGGAACTTTGGATCCTTGAAGGAAGATCCATGAGATATAGTACGCGACTTGATTTTACTATCAATCACCGACCGACTCTTTGTCAAAGCGGGCGGGCTGTGACCTCCACCTCCATACCTTGTCCAGCTTGTCTACCTTGCCGACCTACCTATTACCTATCACCTACCGCTACCGGTATTCATCCTACTTATCCAGCTGCCTACCTATAACGCCAACCAACTTCGCGCTTCCTTACCTCAGCCACTCCGGTCCCCATTACCCAGCAACCCAAGTTCAATTGTTACGTCCCGTCCCGCCTCTACAATCTCTTGTCTTCAACCTCGAAAAACAACACTTTGCAGTCACTATTTGAGCACTACCTTGAACGACAACAATTTCGGCCATAATACGTCTTATCGCCGAGTCCACAAACACCTATTACGACGGCTAGCATCTGACATGTAATGCCCGCCATATTGTATTCCGGATTATTACGACAATCGCATTTCGCAAGAAGGCGCCGGCTCGTAGCCGTCGACGAGGGATAGATGCGCCTAGCCGACGCTGAGCCTTTGCCTATTTTCCTATCACCCACCGGATAAGGCGCGCGAAGATGGCAGAGCGAGTAACAGCTTTTGTCCGGGTTTCAGGCCCTCCGAATAGTAGTTTTCTAGTTGGATACCCCGGCATTTCGGCAACGTTGGTGAGTTGCGCAATTCCTTCCATCCTTCCATCTGATTTACCTGATTGATTGTTCGTTTCCGTCATTTCGATGTGGGAGGTTTGTGGCGCCGACTACCAAAACTTGAGATCCACGCAATACTCCTATTTATTTATCTGCCTGGGCTAACATATGTACGTAGCCGCGCATCGAGGGGAAAGTTGAGATCAGACCGTCAGCGGGTTATTCCGCACCCGTTGCTATCTCCTTAGTGCGGATATGCTTACAGAGAAGGGAAACAATCCATCCGGCCGCCGAAAATGTAGCCAAACGTCACCTCGGCACACCTCGACGCGATACCACCGATGTTGTTGGAAAGGAGCTTTTGTTATACCGGTGCGCGACAGGCAGGGATGCTGAACAGGTTGTTGCGATGGACCTGCCATTTGTTTTGTTCATCCCATTTGGGCGAGGTCAAGAAGAGATAAACAGAAGGATACCGCCTGCATCATTACAGCTCCCGAGCAGAACTGCAGAAACTTACTACGAGTTAGTCGTAACCGTACAACAGGGACCGAGCGTACAGAACCGATATGCATTTCCCGTGCCCTTGCAGCGATACGATACCCTATCGACCTTTGGAATGTACAATCGACCGGAACACAAAGTCGCGTATTCAGATAATATCGTTACTCTCGGCATTTCGCTTCCAAGATGGAGTTACGGACCTATGGATCCGATAACAGTATATGTCAAACTAGCGCCGAATCTAGACTGGATGGCGAAGGCGAGAAAAGTAACCATACAGAAGATAACGCTCGCGATCGAGGAGGAGATTACGTATAATCATGAAGGAGACGAACCGACCAAAAAGGTCAACAGGCTGCAGAAATATACTCAAACCATCGGATCGAAATTACCTGAGGCGGGTTACGTGACGAATATGGGAATCATCTTTCCTCATAAGGACCTCAGGGACGCGAACGGTATCATTCGAAGGGGGCAGCCAGCCTTCCCAAATTACGAAGTCACATCATTTACGACCACATCTACACTTTACAAGATTGAGTTCTACCTAACAATAAAGGTAAATGCTTATACCGGAAGAATGCGAAATGATAGCAAAGAGGCTAATACTATAAATTACAGGCGCAGTTAACTTCGGCTCGCGATATAACCCTTCGACAACCTATCGTCATCTGCCCGCTCGATCACCAGGCCTGCAAAGAAGAGATGGATGCTATCGAGCAAGCCGCTAAAGATGCCTCCTCCGTCGACCCGAATAACCCGATGCTACCGGCGAGAAATATCGTCTTAGCCAGCGATCCTCACGCAATGGCGACATTGGGAATGTGTACAGTGGGAGGGCAGAAAAAGCCGTTAATCGAATGAAGATGATAACCATCTTATTTGATAAGGGCGGAACGGTATACACTTCCGTCACGCGAGTTTACTCGAAACACCATAGCTGTCCGAATCGATACCGCCAACTTGCGCTCTTGTAGGCTTGCGCATGCTCAATTTCTCCATGATTTAGAGCATCTGACCGGACTTCACACCACCAAGCTCCTGCGGACCCGAAAGATCGCAATTTATACTTCGATGCATCTGGCGAGTTTAAGTATAGATGGGGCCTAAAGCGCTACGATCATATGAATGGCATGTCAAGTGGGCACTCGAGCGAAACTATCCGGTCATATTCTCCAATTCACGAGGGGAGTAGGTGCTTTCGAGATTCACCCAGACCCACGTCTTATTAGCTAATGCAACTATATAAGATACCTTCTCTTCTCCTAGTGGCCTACACGACGAAGTGGGCATTGCTTTGATGGAATCTTTCTATAATCATAATCACAGGATTTTTCAAGGGCAGGTTGCAAGCATTGGAGTTCTAGGATCTGTGAATTTGGATGGAAACGGTTCCGCGCGTTTGGTAGGCATATGCCATCGCGACGGACTTTACGGCGTTACGGATATGAAATATTCCCTAAGAACGGCACAAACCGAAGAATGGGATACAACGCATCGGGTTCCGGGCGTTTTAAGAGAATCTAGTCGCTCAGGCGTTCTCGACTATGTTTCTCCTCTCCTTTAGCTACAGCTTGGAAGCGTTATCGTGCGATATCCACCGTTGGAATACGTTTTCCCGAAATCTAGGCAAGCTGACGGGGAAGTGGCGAGCAAGAGCATGAGGCTTGTTTTGCGTTGCTCACAAGGTATCTATCCGAGGAGCTGCAACAACCTGCATCTCATAAGGTATTTGGAATGTATGATTGGAATCGCAGTTATGTGTACATATATTTGCACTTGTGATGGTTTCTGCATTGAGGGTGCGCACGGATATGATTTGGGGGAAAGCGACGAGGCATTCTATGTACAAGCCACAGAGGGCTTCGCATATGTCGATACCATTCATTGCGCAGGCGATAGGAAATCTTGATCGAGGCTGCTTGAGCAAAGCAACTTGGTACATAGCTTACGCGTTAGTCAATGCCAAATTTATTGACGTTATTTGTCTTGGAAATTATGTCTACATGTATCCTTTGCCTTCAAATATTTCTCGCACTGGGTAATGTCGTGTGGTGTGAATAGGGAACTTGATCGACAATATCGAACTTTTACCCCGCCTTCTTTTCCAAATCAAGCGGAAGTGTAAAAATGTATCAGATAAAAGTGCAAGGTTTTACAATCCAAGGTGCCTTGCTTGTAAGCAGGCAGAAACAAGAAATGCTCAAAAAGAAAAGCGACATGCCACTTGTGATAAATGGCAAAAGAGAAATGTGATGAGAGCTGCAGGATTCGAACCTGCGCGGTTTCCCATTGCGGGTCAGATGTTCCATGGACTTCAAGATTGAAGACTCTAGGTCCTAAACACAACGCCTTAACCACTCGGCCAAACTCCCATTTCGATTGTTGAAGGACGGCGTCTTACTGGCGTCTATAAAGGCAAACTCTGTCTGCAGAAACAGTGTTGATTGGGCGTGCACTTGGCTAGACTAAGCTTAGGTGGGGTTGGTGGCTGACTTGGGGGCTATCTGTGCAACCTTAAAATTTTGGTGTCAGTGTGAATGGGACTCGTCCGATACAACATCGAATGTACGAAATACATCAAACATTTGAAGCGAGTCTGCTCAACTCAAACTTTTGATATTCGATAAATCTCGAGTTTGAAAATACAAAGAAATTATTTTCACGGCAATTATCATTTGAACCGGATTACAGGCTCTAGGACGGTGATTTTAATACTTTCACTGCCATTCACGGATTTCTTGCACAATAGGTTGGTGAAGTGGAAGCTTACGAACGGAAATTATTTCAACCTCGACATGTGACACACCGATGCTCATACTTTATCACATATCACAATCTCTCATATCCTAATCCCTAGATCGCCAATCTCCTGCCACATCTTCAATTACATCTACTGCACCTCAATATGCCCTTCGACGACGAAGACCCCACCCCCACATCCGTTTCCGCCCTCGCAGCGGCGGGTGAGGAAGGCGAGGCTCCGTCTCTAGAAGACGCACTCGGGGACGAAACTCAGGATTTCCGACTCTTCGCCTCACTATTCGACAAGAAGCAGGCATCGGGAAAGACGCTGCGGCGCGGCGAGAAAGATTTCGAAGCTCATGGTACCCGCGCGCAAGCCGGAGCCTTGGAGGCGAGCCGCGAGGCCATGCATGAGGTGCTGAGCTACACGCGCTCGCACAAGCCGCGGGATTGCAATCGCGGGTGGTATTTTCCGGAGAAGTGGGCCGATGCGCCGGATACTTTAACCGGAGAAGGAGGAGGGCAGGTCGAGGTTGAAGGAGAGAAGGGCGCGGGGTTGTTTGCCAGGGAGAGGGTTGTGGTTGTTGAGGAGGAGATTAAGGGCCCGTTGAGTCAGAGCGTGGGGAGGGTTGTTACGGGACTTGAGGGATATAAGGGGACGCCGGGGTGGTTGAAGACGTGGCTGTTGCCGGAGGAGGCGCTGTATCTTGTTGAGAGGGGGTCGTTGGATCTATGGTGGCCGGCGAGGGGGATTGAGGATGTTTTTCCGATGAAGAAGGATGGTCAGGACGAGGTTGGGGATGAGACGCAGAAATTTGAGGACTACGAGTTGGGGGTTCCGCTTAGTTTACAGGCGGCCTACGCGCTCCTCATCGGCAACGATGGCGAACGGGGCAAAGTCAGCCTCGAGAAATACCAAGTCTACGCCAACCTCCGACGAACAGGCTACAAGATCATGCGCGCGACGCAAATGCCCCTCCCGCCACCTCTCCCGGCCAAACCTCCTCAAAGTCTATGGCAATGGCTCATTTCGCTCCTCCCTACATCCATATCTTCGCAGACTAACCCACCACCCTTCGGACCCCTCGTTAAGCCGGGTCTATATCGCTCATACACCCCAATCTTCACCCAACTCGCGCTCATCCCCCACCACGAACCCACACCGCAGCCGAAAGCGAACACGCCGGTGCCGCAGGAACCGTTCAACATCCACTTCCACGTCTGGAAAAGCAGCACCGCGTTCCCGAAAACCAAGCCCCCACCGCCGGACTTCCGGATCGCCGTCGCGGACGCGCGCGCCTCCTCCGTCCCAACATTAGAACAACTTACCGCACTCTTAGAAATACGGGCACCATGGGATCCGCCCGACTTCCCAACCCAGACCCAAAACCTGAATCAGGGAAAGAACCAGGGTAGGAATAACCAAGGCCAGATGTACAAACGCCTGAAGCACGCGTGGCGCAACGCGGTCGTCGCGGTCGTCGACAGGGGGCTGATCAGCTACGTGCGGTTCGGGGAGATGGCGTTTGCGCGGGAGAGGCTGTACGAGGGGTTTGGCGGTGGGGCGGTGGGTGCGGGAGGCGGGAAGGGGAAGAGGGGGGGGAGGAGTGGACGGGGTGGACGGGGCGGGAGGGGAGGTGCGCGGAGACGGGGGAGGGGTGGATGATTCTTAACTATTGTTTGGTGAGATCAAGTGGTAGGAGTTGCTCCTTGAAGTTCATAGCTACCAAGAGGTAGGTATTATTAGATCCTGAAATCGCGTGGTAGCTAAATCGGGGTTGCTGGGGCATCTCATTGACAAACGGAATTCAATTACGTAGCTCAAGAACAATCGAAACTCGAAGATTGAGTTATCTCGCAAGTTTGCTACATAGCAGCGGAATAGAAAGTGATTGATGGAGTCTTCGGTACCTATCCGCATTGACCCATGTTCTGCGCATAATCTCTTTGATTCTGACGATGGTCGGATGAGGCCTATTTCTTACATCTCTTTCCCGTGGAACTGAGACATTGGTTTAGAAGATACTCTCTCCCGTCCCTCGCACGAGGAAATAAACTCAACTGCAGGTAGTCTTCATGATTCAACAATCCCTTTTCCGCGTCAATTTGACCCAGCCAGTTGGCATTGGCGATGGTTGGTTTATTCCCAGGGGTATGAGGTTCTCGCACCTATCGATTTGAGACAACACGGGATATAGCATTTATGATAAAATCTTGCTCAGATCGTATGTTCGTATCCATCTATGTTTGCTGGCTAATAAGCATGCACGAACGTAATATGCATGTAGTTACCCATTTACCTTAAGTAAACCTAAACTCCGGTGCGATTCCACGAGCGTGGGGGGGAAATGAGGTGGAGTACGAAAGCGAAGAGAGAGGGAAAAAATGGCTCTTTTGAAGGGTCCCGCAACAACTTTCCCATAATGGATCCCGTAGGACGGCTGCAGACCGTGGACGTGTGACGAAGCTGTATTAATTGGAGCCACACGGACCGATAATATGGGAGAGAAGAAAAAAGTTTATCAAACTGTTACAGGTTTGCGGGTTGGGTTGTTGTGATACGGTCGTGTCGGTAGGGATGTGTCTATCCTGTCTCGCCTGTTGGGACACGAGACGAAAGTTGCACAGCGAGAGTTCTGGTGCTACGGTAGCATATTCACCTTTCTCGTTCTCTAGGTATTCAGATGATACTTGTGTAGGTGCTTATTGTTGTCAGAAATATCAGAACATCGAGTTGTAGATGGCATCTAATAGGACGGCACGTGAGTTACGCAGCAGTCTCTTCTAAGAAAATAAGACTTATAGGCGTAATCACATGATCCGGACTATTCAGTAGGTACTTAGGTACATCTTCCGGAGTGGTAAGTTCAACCGGGTTTAGCACGGCAGGTGCAGGGGTGTTGGAGTCTTGGCATTTCTTGAAGTTCTTTTCAATTCCCCTTATCACTAATCATGTAATCAATTCAGTTGCAACTTGGAACTACGTAGGAAGTCTCACGCGAAAAGAGAGAAAGAAAGGAGTTTATCTTTTTGGGTCAATCGTAATTGCAATTATAGCTTGGATTATTCAACCGTTATTTCCGTTGTGTCACGAATAGCCCCGAGTTATCTGTAGGAAACCCGAATGAGTTTATCGTACGAATATCACCGAGAGCATAATGTTACTTCGAGGCAATTGGAAGGGCTTTTTAGGCAGTTTGGGAGGGGTTCCAAGGTTATTATTGACTTTTTAAATTATTCTCTCCTCGACACCTTGTCTTGCTTGTGTTTCCTCGGCCAGACCGACGAAGACTTACCTTATTCATTACTCGATTCAATCAATTCATTCAACTTCACTTTTCCATATCAACCAAATCAACCGGATTCTGTCGCACAAGCACGTAATTGTCGATAGTTATGGTAATGTTTATCAGCAGAGAACTGAGTGATGACATGATGGCGTAAGATCCGGTGTATCATGTATCATCATACCCAGTATGATATCCTATCACATACATCGATTACTGAGAGATAGAGAGAGTCTAGTTTAGACATGCATTGTTCAACTGTGTGTCCACGTTGCATTCTTCATGACTTCTCTGCAGTTTACTCTGTCCGCCATCTGCACCTAACACTTCTATTACTCAAACTTTCTGCGTCGACCCCACCACCATATATCCTGACACTCGGGAATTGACAATAAAATTTTTAGTCTACTGACCAAACTCGTGCACGACCAATTGATGGTTTCTACCTTTTTCTAACTTTGTCTTTTCTGCTGATATAGTACTTACATAGTAGGTAGGTGTTAGGTACCTAATAAGCATATATATAATAAGTATGCGGTGACATGGGGCCAATTGCAACCATTTTCTGCTGTGTCTACCTCTATGCATACGGCATACTAGACGTTCTTATTAGAAGTTCCTACGTATATTAACCAATGTCGATAGTTTCGGCTGGGGCTAAATGGACATCAACGCTATAATTACCAAAAACGTCTATTATTACTAGGGGCTAATTTCTGACCCATTTTTCTATTTTCTTCTATTTCATGCTCATGCTCATGCGTACGTGTGTTGGAGGTGTTGGAGATAAGCGTAACATCGATACTATTCCTAAATGTCCCTAAACTTGCCTACGCAGCATGTATCTAAGGTTAGCGTGTATCTAGGCAGATATATACTAGTTGGGTATCATGATTTTCGATGTTACGATGTTAGCTAGAGTCGTTGCCATGGTAGGTAACGACGGACGCCATTGCGCCACAACGCGCGCAACTCGAAAAAAGCCAACATCCATGACTCAGCCAACCTCTCGTGTACCACTTCAACAAGGTAAAACAAACTGCGGTTGGGAATGGACGCAGTCTCAGCTAACTCTTCTCAGCCTCCGAGTTCTAAAAGAAGATGCAAACTTCCAAGATGCCAAACTGGTATTTTCGGTGTGGTAATTACCTGCCTAGGTACTCAGATACCTACCTACCTAGTAATTGATTATCGCGTCAATAGTCCTAGCCTGCTGCTTCATCGTCGATTTCATCCATTGCGACATTTTCGCTCTGCTCCATACCCGAATTACCGTACTTGATATAATTGGGTTTCGACATATTTCTCTTCGATCCTCCTATGCAACGGATTGGTAGATGAGG